CATCGCCATGCTCGCTGCCTGATATCACCAATAGCCTGGCAGCACTCAGGGTGGTTAGAATCTGAAAGCGGCCTTCTCAGTGACTTCACACCACGTTCTGTTTGTAAAATGCAATAAGGGACTCAGGTCAAGGATTCAAGGAGCCAAAGTAGGGAGAATAGATATTGAATAACTGGCACTTTACCTCTGTGCACAGTAGCATAGAAACATGTCTCTTGAGTATTTAAAACCTGAATTATTATTATTACTAGAGGCCTAGTGCACGAATTCTTGCATGGGTTGAGTCTGGCCGGCCTGCCCCTTTCAAGGCTGATTGGGCCAGGCAGGCTATGGGGAGGGATGGCAGGTGCCAATTAGAGGTGAGGCTGGCTGGGGGAGAGGTCACGGGTGGTTGGCTGGCTGGCCACACTCCCTGGTCAAAGTTCTGGTTGAACTCCCAAACTCATGGTCAAGGGGACAATTTGCATATTAGCCTTTTATTATATAGGATTAGTTGTTATTCATTGAATGCCTATTTTGTACCAACATATTAACTAGCACTTTGCCCACGTTAATCATTTTTAATCTTTCTAGAAACTCAATAAAGCAGTTATTATCATCTCATTCTGCAGATGAAGAAGCAGTGGTACAGAGATATTAAGTAATTTTCTCCTAGTGGCACAGCGATGAATGTTGGAGCTGCAGGTTGAACTCACACCTGTTCCACTTCTCATCTTTTTAGAGAGCTTGTCCCTGTGTGGTAGTCAGACTGCTGGCTCACCAACAATATCCACTGACTCTGATTCCAAGTCCCCGACAAAGATTTTTGGGGAATTCCATTTTAATTTTGTACATTTTTCAGACAAAGACTTGAGAGAAATTTCATTTTAATCTTATACCCCATGGCAGACACCTACTTTCCCTCTGAATGCCATAATTCTATTTATATTGAGTGCATTTCACTAGTTTATACCCTCAGTTTAGGAGTTTTAATACTCACTCATTATTTAGTAAGAATTAGATATTTATTTTTCCCCTTATTTTTTAAAAAATATATTTTATTGATTTTTCACAGAGAGGAAGGGAGAGAGATAGAGAGCTAGAAACGTCAATGAGAGAGTAACATCGACAGCTGCCTCTTGCACACCCCCTACTGGGGATGTGCCCACAACCAACGTACATACCCCTGACCGGAATCGAACCTGGGACCTCCCAGTCCACAGACCAATGCTCTACCACTGAGCCAAACCAGTTTCGGCTATTTTTCCCCTTATTTTTAATAATCTGCTTGCTTTGGAAGCAGATTTCAGTTAGCTTTCAATTATGAAAGATACTCCCTGAAGCTAGCATGAAAGAACACAGGCCAAGAGCTGAAAATGAGGGAGGGGCTAATTCCTGCAGGATCCTAAGGCTGAGGGACCCTTCATTTTGCCAGCCCTTCTAGCCAAGTCAAAAAGGAAAAGGTGATGGGTGGCCTACTTTGTATTAGTAGAAAATGTTGCCAAATATGGAAAACAATGGCTTTCCCCACCAATATTTTGAATATTAATAATTTTTATAATCAGAACATTTAAAGCCAAAATTATGATTTTGCTTCTTTAAGTGTACTGTCATCTTTAATGTATGGTAAAAGTTTTAATTGTGGAAACAATGCACTATTTTCATTTTTTTTGAAAATATTAGAGGGAATAACCACAAGTCCATCCTCTAAATATAAGGACCTTATTTTATGCAGTTTTCTTTTTTGTTCTTCTGGAAACACATTTCTATTTCTGATTTCCCTACTTGTCAGCAGAGTAGAAATGCTGGGTTGTTTCCTGCTTTCGGTGATAGGTGATATGTCTTTTCTCTGTTGCTATAAAGTCCTAATAATTATTATTTTACAGGTAGCATAATGTGTCATTAAATAGACATAGCATAATTTCAGTAATCATCTCTCTGTTGGTGTACAACCGAGACACTTCTTATTTTATAGTGCAGATAATAATTACAGTGAATAATTATCTCCATTTTCAGTTTAATAATTTATAACATTTGTTAAATCACCTTTTACTACAAATTTCTTTTTCCCCCAATTTTTATTAAGGTATTAAATGTGTACATATCTTACCAATCCCCCCCCCCCCCCCCATACAAATTTCTTATACAGATAAAATAAGCTCCTCAGAGGCAGGAACATTGTATTTTCTCAATTTTTTTTCCCTCCAAATATAGTAGCTTGAAAATATTAAACACTTTATCAGCAATTTAATGAATGAATAAATAAATCCCAGGTAACACCTTTAACTTGAAAGGGGCTGAAATGGCTAAGATGGTGTTTGATAGGTATCCAAACTGGAAAGACCATGACTTATGCCTACCCTCAAGAAAACGTTAAAAATTAAAGTTACAATAAAGATCCCAAGTAGCACTTTGAGAAATTAGAATATTAGAAGTCTGGAGGTGGGGGCTCCATATGAGCTGAAGGGCTATTTTCTCCTCCTACAGTCCCCTCAGCCTCCCAACTTCTCTCCCTCCCTCCCCACACCCCCTTTATTCTTCCATTTGGAGTTTCAGACTCTGGAGAGGAGTGATGTCCCTAGTTACAGCTCTGAATAAAGCTCCATGCAGTAAACGTGTGACCCAGCCATCGGTGGGCAGAGAGGGGCCTTCCTGGGACTGTGCGTAATTGCCGAATGCATCTGTGTGCTCGCCGAAAGCCCATCTGTACCCTCTGCCCAAACGTGCTCCCTCCCAGGCAAGTCAGGTGCTCAGAGCAGCCGGCTGGAGCTGGGGCTGCAGAAAAGTGCCTCTTTTAAACATTAGGAGTGATTCCCCTCCCTCCCCCCCCCCCACCCCAATCAGCACACAATTACTCACGATGTATACGCATAGCAACTCTATTTTTGAAAAATTTACTATTTGGAACTCCCCCCACCCACCCCCCAACCCTGTGAAAACTAAAATGCATATTAGCGCTGCCTTGGGATAACTGATATTTTTCAGTGAGCTCAAAGCTGCACTATTTGTGGGTTTTGTACTATAACATTCTGCAGCCCAGTCACATGGCTCCCTTTTCCGAAGCCATCTGTCACAGAGGTCTGGAATTCCATGTGAATGCTAGTTGTACAGTCTTGACCCAAGTGTTGTGTTTTGTTTTTTTTTTTAAATGAAAAAATGCCAGCAACTATGGCATTTAGCACTTTACGTTGGTTATTAAACTTGATTACGATAGATCTGTTTTACTGCTCTCGTTACATAGCAGCGATGAAGCCAGTAATTGCCTTGATATGCTCACGACAGAATGCATTGTGGTATCATGGAGAGAGCACCTGGCACTGATATGGTTAATATCTTGGATTTTTTTGTAACTAAGGTTTATTAATGCTGGTATAAAAATGTATTTGATGTTATACAGATGGCCTAAGATGTTGTGGTTACTAAGTTATTATCCCGGATAAGCTGTGCTGTCAAATTCGGGGCTTAAAACTATCACAGGAGATTAAACTATTTACTAAAAAAGGACAGAAAGATATGGCCAAAGCATCTTAGTACAAACATGTTAGAAGTGTACTTACCTCCCACAAATACAGTAAAGCATGTCTGAATCACAGACCGAGGGCCTGGAAAATAGGAACTTTACAGGCAGAACAAACACACTGAAGAGGTGATTTTTAAAATACATTTTTATTGATTTCAGAGAGGAAGGGCGAGGGAGAGAGAGAGAGAAACATCATCGATGAGAGAGAATCATTGATGGGCTGCCTCTTGCAGGCCCCCCCACTGGGGATGGAGCCCACAACCCAGGCATGTGCCCTGATCTGGAATCTACCATGACCTCCTGGTTCATAGATCAGCGCTCAACCACTGAATCACACCGGCCGGGCTTCATTTTCTAAATCAGGGGCAAACCATGGCCCACACCTGAGTGGCAGCTATTGGGACGGGTGAGGCAGTGGGGGAGGTGCAGGCACAGTGTAAGTGGGGAGTTAAAGTCAACCCCCTGGGAGGTAACTGGCTACCACACCCGTCAGGGATCCTGCTAACACATTCAGGGACGCCTCCTGCTTTGCCAGCCTAAAGGGAAGAGGAGGGGAGTCATTCAAAAGTCAACCGCGAATTGACGAATGACGGTGAAAACGCCAGAGAGATACTCACTGGACCCACGTAGGATGAGGACAGACGTGTTCTTGCCAACATGTGGCGGTGCTCCCAGTGTACATGCCACGGAAAACCCGCCTGAGCAGGGACTTGCAGAATATTCAGAACACACGGGCGCGGGGGCCTCAGAAACAGAACAGGAAAAGCTGAGCCAGAGGTGTCCCCAAAGACATGCTGTGAGGACAGCTTTAAGGTTTTTACTAAGTGTTTGGGAAGCACTCACCGTCTGAAGATGTGACTGTGGAACTGAAACCTGAGTGGCCACCCCGGCAGCTGCCACCCACAGGCCCCCAGAGGGAATCACAGTCTGCGCGTCCGCCGCCCCCCAATTTAACAGAGCTTTTCCGGTCCCAGTCACCCAGGGCAACATGTTCCTCTCATGTTAGTCTAATATTCCCATAAAAATTCTCTCCCGGTTGGTTATTTTTCCATGTTTCTCATGCTATCAGATTAATATTGTGATTTGGATTGGGGGGGAGGAATACTGTTGTACTTTTTTATAAAGTCAAGTATTGATGCTTTAAGTGGTGGATTTCGAGTGAGGATTCTGCAAACTAGGAAAGAAGATTTAGAACCAGACTTTAAAAATAAACGCCTCCCAGGGTTAGCCAATACATTTAGCATTTGGGACACCTTATTGATACCAGGCTTACTCTGTTGAAACCCAGAAACATGGAGCCCACTAACGGGCTGCTCTGAAAAAGTCTGCCTAGGAATCGAACATCAACCAAAGCAAAGCAGAGAGCGAGGTTTAACATCAGATATACTTACACGAAAGCTTGCATTTCAAATGATCCCTTAAAAGCTCCACGTGGCTAAGCTATGACAGCAAACAGCTTAAATGTTGTGTGTTTTTTTCTTCTGTTTCCTGTGTATACCAGGGAGCCGAGATAGAAGTGGATGAAAATGGCACATTGGACTTAAGCATGAAAAAAAATCGAACCCCGGACAAAGCTGCTCCCCTCACTCCCTCTAACACGTCTATTCCGACTCCTTCCTCATCCCCATTCAAAACCAGCAGCATTTTGGTCAATGCGGCCTTCTACCAGGCGCTGTGTGTCCAGGAGGGCTGGGACGCCCCGATCAACTACAGCAAAGCCCACGGGAAGACAGATGAGGAGAAGGAGGTATTGTGTCAGTCTGTCCGTAAGGTTAAGAAAGCATGATTGAAGATATTGTTGGCTTTCTTTCTCCTAAATTATTCTTTCACAGTCCTGTGTAGATGATGCATCATTCTGTACCTTGTTTTAGATTTTGGTAGAGTGTTAAGTTTAAATTTCAGAGGAAATTTGTAAATACATCCAACGTTGTCTGTTACTTGCCTAAAATAATAATATGTTATAACTGTGGGGGGAAAAAATCTTTTTTGGTTAATCCTCACCCGAGGATATTTTTCCATTAATTTTTAGAGAGTGGAAGAAAGAGGGAGAGGCACAGAGAGAGAAACATCAGTTTGAGAGAGACAGATCAATGGGTTGTCTCTCACACAGGGAAGGAGCCTGCAACCAGGTATGTGCCCTGGACCAAATTTGAACCTGAGACCCTTCAGTCCACAGGCCAATGCTCTAGCCACTGAGCCAGACAAACTAGGGCTATTATTGTGAATTTTACCTCCATTATGGCTACAATTGTGTGAACTGGGCCAGAGATTACGTTATCTATCCCTTCAGATACAGCTGCCCGTATTATGAATTCTTTCTGAGCCAGGACATAGAAGATAAAACCAATTCAGGGACACATAAGAGTCATGTCAAATGTGTTTCCTTGGTTTGGTGAAGGAACCGTGTTAGCAAAACTACGTGCTGTCTGCCTTGCAGATTCACCCAACTGCAGATCGAAAATAGTCAGAAAAGAGTTACGTTCTTGCTGACATGGGCTATATAGTTAAACCAATGATTGAATGTGTGCTGGACATGGAGAGCCCTTTTTTCCTTGCCATTATTCCGGAAACAATATAATACCACAACTATGAACATTGCACTTTTATTGTATTAGGTGTGAAGAGTCATCTAGAGATGATGTAAAGTATGCAGGAGGATGTGTGTGGGTTCTGTGCAAATACCTCAAGGACCCATGGACTTTGGTGTTTGAGGGGATCCCGGAACCAATGCCTGAAGACCCCGTGGAGCAGCTATATAGAGTCATTGGGTCACGTGCTGGGTGACTGAGTTGTCTCAGTCCAAATGTCAAGAAGATGCACTCACACACTAGGTTATCTTAGAGGCGCTTTTCCTCCTGCAGGCCAGATGTCCTGACTGTGCAGGAGTTCCTTTAGCCTCCATCTCCCTACGCTGAGCCACCTGGCTTGGCCTAATTAGCATGACGTAGTGTCACTCAAAAGAATTCATGGCCGGAGCCCTCTGTGGTTTAGACTCTCTATCACTGCAAATGTGACCCTAATCGCGACAATAAGTGCTTCTCTTTTTGCTTGTTTGTCAGGAAAGTTGTAGATACTTGCCAGTTTACATGTTTCAAGGAGCGAAATAGCCATTCTCTTTGGAAGTGTGCACCGCCTTTTTCAGGCTTTTGAAGTCCAGGAGACTTTAGGGGAAGAGTAATTTCATTTTAGCATATGCTTTGGCATCTCAGAGCATAAGTCAACATAAACAGCAGTGATCTCAGATGGGTTTGTTTGCAATTCCATTCTCCCTGCCCTCCCCCCTCTCTCTCTCCCTTCCTTCTTTCCTTCTCCTCCTTTCTTTCCTTCCTGGAGCACATGTTCACTGGCAGTATTATCTCCCCGTCCAGTCAGTAAGGTAGGCCCTGAGGATGCAGTCCCATTAGCCCACCACGTATGCGCTCAATCTAGCAGGAGGACTGATGTACACATCCCGCTGGTCCATGGAGCAGGAGCAGGCACAGAGCAGAAAGGAAAGGCCAACCCCATGTGTCACAGCTGGGGACGGGTTTCTGGGAGTCCCGAGGTACCAAGGCATGCTCTGTGTCACCAGCTCACACACCATCCCAGGAATGGAGAGGGAGATTGATACAGCAGCTGCTTCTGATTAGATTCCGTCATGCTGGACGTAGTCACTTGATTATGCGTGGCTTTTAAGAATGTATCTGGAGTGTTGAGGGATGGTCTTAGTCAATCTATCCTCATTGTATTTTAGAAGAACAGTTTCTTAAAATAAAGTATATTTGACTTTAATAAATGTAAAACTGACACATACCAAGTATCAAAAGCTGATTACCGATGATCACAAACTGACTAATGTGTTCCTCCCACCACATTCCACCCACCCCCTACCCCTGCCGCTTCAGGCTTCTGTCTATTTTTATAACCCAGAAATCTGCTAAAATTCATAGTAACTGATCAAGCATAGTCATGATGAGATTAAGATTGTTGATTCAATCCCATGTCATGCAAGACAGCTTTAGAAAAGGGGTGGAGGTTCCCTCCAATCCACAGGTCTCCCCAGTCTCCAGCCAGTTGACTGCTGGTGGGACGGTGGCCCATCTCACCCACCCACTTATCCTAATCCAAGCGGTAAGACCTGTTGCTGCGGGTTCAGTAAAAGTCTTATGTCACGTGAAGGGCGGTGCTTTTGCCAAGTCGGCCTAACTGCATGCTTATTCCTGTCTGGATAAAACCCACCATGTTTGAACGTGTCCCAGGGCCATGTGCGGGGTGGGACTCAGGCTGTCTGGCCTCATCCTGTGACTGTGCTGTGATGGTCCATGGTCCATGTTCCCCGGACAGCCTTCTATCAATATTCCTACAGACTCAGACACACGGATCCAGTCTTGAGTTAATGAAGCAAATTTCAGACAAGTGGGCGCTCGTTTCCATTCAGGGCCTTGTGTTTGACATTGGTTGTAATTCTGTGCCCTCCTCAACAATGCCAACACTGTGCCTTTTATATGCTGAGGAACTCCTCCCATTTGGGGGTTGCATTAGTGCCTTAGACTTTTATCACTCAACCAGAAAGCGAGGTTTTAAATATAGTTTGTTTATTTCTTAATCTCATTTTTTTTTGCATAATTCCAAAAAACAATATGCATTCACATTGGCAGCTTTTATAATTCAATAGAAGTATGTTCTTATCGAATGCTTAAATCTATGTTTTATTTTCTGGCCAATTCATGGGGAAAAAATGGGTTTGTTTAGATTCTTGCTCTTTTCGAATGGCTTACTTACTTCAGGTCTGATCATACAGACTTCTCCTACAGTTTGCAACCTAAATGATCTAAAGTCTGAAATTTAGAAAGTATGTGGAGATTCAATGTCATTAGGAAGAACAAAAAGGAATTGGAAGATGCTAAGTGAGTTCTTGGAGTCAAAGTGCTTGCCCTACGTTTGAGTTGACAAAATAGTTTTTAAAAATATATATTTTATTGATTTCTTACAGAGAGGAAGAGAGAGGGATGATAGAGGGTTAGAAACATCGATGAGAGAGAATCATCGATCAGCTGCCTCCTACGCACCCCCTAACTGGGGATGTGCCCGCAACCAAGGTACATGCCCTTGACTGGAATGGAACCTGGGACCTTTCAGTCCGTAGGCCGATGCTCTATCCACTGAGCAAAGACAAAATAGTTTTTAAGCCTAAGGCTTCTTACCACAGTTACCTGACTTGGGTGAGCCGAGGCCTGGGGGAGCCACAGCCAGCAGGGATAGGCACAAGAAAGGGTGCTTCTGGGTCACTTTAGCCCCCAGGACATGTTCTTACCTTCTGTTCTTTGTTCCTTCATCTGCGACGAGGTAATCGACTGATAGTACTTTTCACATCCTGTTCTGAATCTTGAAAATGAGAAGTGAGATACCTAATAGGTATTATTTTGAAAAAGTAGATTGCATTCAATGTCCTCCTTGGGAAGGTATCAGAGGGAAACCTTGTTCTGAAAAATAAAGATAAGGGATCTTTATCCTGAAATCTACGTATTGAGAGGCAGGATGATTATCCATGTTTTTAGAGGAGGAAACTGAAGCGCAGGGAGGGAAAGGTGTTGATCCTTGGTCATGTAGAAATTAAATAATGGGCTGGGCTTCCCGAACATGAAGAAAAGGGAGAGGAGAGAAACAAAAGAAACACACACACACACACACACACACACACACACACACACACAAAATGAAGACAACTAAGGAATATTGAAAAAACTAGAGAGGAAGAAAAAAGAGAATAAAGAAGAAACAGTATATGGCAAGGTTGGTGGAAGCAACCCTGATCTACAGTGCTTCTCAGAATAGCAGGATCCAGAACTATAGGATGTGATGACACAAGTCACCAGGACTGGCCCACGCTTGTCATTTTCAGTGAGCTCTCCTGGGATGGCTGCACATGGCCCAGCGATACATTGAAGACTACCTGGCGGTCTGTTCCTGCTCCCATACCCCCATCCTTCCTGTTGCCAGCTCTGTCACCTCCCCACCCCACCTCACACGAAGCACGTACATCTACACACAGGCAACCAGAAATTGAGCGATTATTTCTAATTCATTGTTATCTAGCTCATATGCACAACAGTTGCTTAATTTTGGTGGCAATTTTCAGAAAATATTGTCTGTCTCTCTCAGTAAAATAGCCTGTCCAGATGCCCCCTAAAAAATTCCTGAATCTGGAAAAAACTCAAAATATCTCAGAAGGAAAGTGCTGAGAAATAACTACGGCTGTCAGTTTCATTCAACTGTCAGTTCTCCAACAATTTCAGGGCTTAAAATGTTAAAAGTGCCAGATGCTATTATCTGTTATTCATGCTACCATTATGTTCTGGTCTTTACTAAAACCCACATAAACTTCCATCTGCACATTAAAGGAATTTCATTGCATCCATGTCCTCTCTAAACACACACATATATGTCACGTTCTTTCTTACATAGCCATCGTATAAAAATATTAACTTCAAAATATCCATTTAAAAATAATATTATTTTATTTAATGATATTTTATATAATGAAAAAAGTTCTTATATATTCTTATAACTTATTGTTTTACTCAGTCCTATTTATGAATTTATCCAATATAAAATGCTTCTGTAACAAATGAAGAATTTTCGTAGTAATGGCCATCTGTATTTGAATAACTATGTTCTCGGCAAGTGTTTTAAGGGCCATATGCTGAGCAAAGAAAAGGAAGAAAACAATTATTTTATAATGAAACCAGAGGCCTGGTGCACAAGATTCGTGTACATGGGGGGAGGGTCCCGCAGCCCGGTCTGCACCCTCTCACAGTCTGGGAGCCCTTAGGGGATGTCTGACTAACTGCTTAGGCCTGCTCCCCCCAGAGAGCAGGCCTAAGCCATCAGTTGGACATCCTTAGCGCAGCTGCGGAGGCAGGAGAAGCTCCCGCCACCACCGCTGCACTTGCTAGCCCTGAGCCCAGCTCTGGCTGAGCAGCACTCTCCCTGTGAGAACTCACTGACCACTAGGGGGCAGCTCTTGTGTTGAGCGTTCTGCCTGCTGGTGGTCAGTGCGCATGATGGTGACCTGTAGTTCCACCATTTAGTCAATTTGCATATTAGCCTTTTATTATATAGGATTGCATACATAAAAGCTCACAGTTTTTAAAAGAAGTTTTAAAAATATTTAAAAAGTCATACCCAGTAAAATTGTCTTATTAAAGCATCACCACATATTACCATATCAAACAAAATATCATATATTCTGCAAGCATTATTTTGTATTCATTTTAGTCAAATAACTTTCATAACTGGTCATTTCTTTCAAAGGCTCCTATTTCCTTTCTATAATGCACAGATTCAGCAGTTGAACAGCTGATAAGTTTTACATGTTCATCTATATAACTGTTCATACCTTCTTAGAGATTCTTTGTTTTTTATAATAAAAGAAATAGTAAGATGGCTTTTTACTTTATGTCATTTTTGTGAGAACTTTAATATCTATACAGAAAAACAAAGACTCTTCTACATTGAGACTTATTACTAGACTTAACATTTGTATCTACTTTCCAAAAGCCAAGGCATTTATAAAGTATAGTAGAAAATACTAGCCAGGCTGAATCAAGATAATACTAAATGGAATGGATGGTGGTATTATCAGGTTTTACGTCTTATAATCAGGAATTGCTTTACTTTAGGCATTCACACTATAAAACTTGAAAAGTATAACCATCATTCATCTATTTGCTTCCATGAAAGCAACCACTAAAATAGCACTTCTCGTTGTATCTTAGTAGGCAACTATTATCAAGAAACTATTTCTCTTTAATTCTCAAGAGTATATTATTCTTTGCTGCTATTTTCAAACATTTATCAATAAAATAAGATGGGCCATGGCGGGTTTGGCTCAGTGGATAGAGAGTCGGCCTATGGACTTCAGGGTCCTGGCTTTAATTCAAATCAAGGGCACATGCCCAGGTTGCAGGTTCGATCCCCAGTGTGGTATGTGCAGGAGGCAGCCGATAATGCTTCTCTCACATCAGTGATGTTTCTATCTCTCTCTCCCTCTCCTTTCCCCTCTGAAATCAATAAAAGTATGTTAAAAAATAAAATAAGATGGAATACTTAACGCTATAAATAATACGTAGAAAAACTATATCAAAACAGGTTTTATTAATTTTATCTGATGATAATATAATGGGATAGTTTACCAATGTATTTACACTATATGGTCTTGTGTAAAATAATTGATTGAATTGTTATTTAAGTAATTAATGAAATAAATTGCATTTGCCTTTATAACTGAGATCAAGGTTTAGTATTTTTCTTTAGTTAGAAATATTTGGGGATGTTGTTTTTCCATTGTTTTTTAATGTAGACTCAGGTTATTATAATTATATTTTACCATTGCATTTTTATATCCATTTGATTTAAATGAGATTTACCTCAAAAATTTAAAATTGTTTTATCACCTTATTTAGATCAGTACTTTTGAGAATTAGAATACAGTTTTCTATATTACCGTAGTTCACCTGAATTTAATATTAAATCCAGAAAATATTTACCAGATATAAACTAAATGATAAACTAATTATGTGATTGAGGAAAATGATTATTAGTTTCCTATAATATAATATATCAGATGATAAATAAGTAATTTGAAAGGATTAATGAGCCTTATGAAATAAAGATCAGTATTAAGCTTAAAAGAAGGTCACAAAAATTAGTGATAACCCAACAAGAAATTCCATTCAGTAAGTAAAAGCATACCAATTTAGCACACACAAAAAAAAACTTCCACAATTGCTCTAATTGGTTTGGCTCAGTGGATAGAGTATTGGCTTGCAGACTGAAGGGTACCAGATTCAATTCCAGTCAAGGGCATGTACCTTGGTTGTGGTCACATCCCCAGTAGTGGGTGTGCAGGAGGCAGCTGATCTATGTCTCTCTCATCGATGTTTCTAACTCTCTATCCCTCTCCCTTCCTCTCTGCAAAAAAAAAAAAAAAAAAAAAAAAAAAAAAAAATCAATAAAATAAAAAACACCTCCAGAACAATTAACTAAGGTAACTTAAGAAAAAAACAGGAAGTGCTAAATTAATTAAAGTCACTATCCAGAAAAATAAAACTTAACTAATTAATTAATTAATTAATTGGTTTGTTTGTTTGTTTGTTAGTCCTCACCCGAGGATATTTTTCTATTGATTTTTAGGGAAGGTAGGAGAGGGATAGAGAGAAACATTGATGTGAGAGAAACACATCAATGTGTTGTCTCCTGCACAAGCCCCAACCAAGGTCCTAACAGTTAGGGCCTAACTGGTTGGAACCTGCAGCCGAGGTATGTGCCCCTGACTGTAATTTAACCTGGACCCTTTGGTCCAAAGGCCAACGCTCTGTCCACTGAGCCAAACCAACTTGGGCAGTTATTGTACAGTTAAATAATTTAAATCTTAGTTATTTGTATATCAGAAAGAACATTCTGTTCACTTAAATTTACTTATTCCTTTTCAGATTTAAACTTTTTGTGATTTACTTTTGCGGTATTTCTTCTGTTTTACCAATGACTTCTGTGGACATAAAGAACTAGCCCTATGTTCTTTAGGAAATGTTCACTGTACAATAAAACCTGAACTCGATTAGACTAGTAACTTAATTATTTGGCTAAACAAATGCCTCTGTAATTATATTTGCCAAAATGTGAAAATGTTAAAGGTATCCCCATGAATTATAATTTCTCATTCCTTATACTCATTATCTCATTTATTTTGTGTACAAATCCTACAGGAATTTCAGCTAAGTCTTTAAGCCAAAACTCACATTTGACCCTGAGGACTTCAAATGCAGCTGTCTCTCCAGGGTTCCCTAATGCCTCCTGTGCTTCTGTTTTTTTTTAATCTTTTTTTTTTCTTTCCTCTCTCAGAAAGACCCAGGGAACTCTCTAGAAAATTTGGAAGAAAAAAAGTTTCCTGGAGAGGCTTCCATGCCAAGCCCTAAACCCAAGCTCCACACAAGAGATCTCAAAAAAGAGCTAATCACGTAAGTGATCCAAAATGACATAGTCTGTGAGACTCTGGGAATAAGGTACTCAAGGTCTTATATTTTGAGTAATAGTATCTTGGCTTATATAGTTGATTTTAGGAATGTTTTAGGGCAATTTCAACCAGTCAGTCATTAGATATTCTATATGGACCTAAACCTACGCACAGAACTAAGAAGATTATGAAGTAAAAGGAAACACCAACAATCAAAAAACAACCCATTTACTTGACGATCTTATGCTAAAAGAATGAAAAGTCTAACTTTAAAAAAAAACAACACCATTAAGCCAATATAAATGTTTATATTTTGATCAGAAATTCTTAATTTGATATCCATCGACTCCAGAAAACCCTTCACAGCTTTAGATGTCTACAAACCTTTTCGCACTTAATGCAAATTGCTTTTTGGGGCAGACAGATCGTCATTTTCATCACTTTCTCAAAGGACAGAAAAATGAAGTGTGATTATCTTCTAATGGGCACTTATTACCGGTACAAAAGTACACCGATGAGGAGGGTTTTGAAAAGATTTTGAACAACTTTTGGGATATATTTATGAGTTCCTAGAAAGCGATCTGTAGAGACCTCACTGTTCTCCCATACTTTACACACCGGTGAGTGCGTTAGTGGGTGCCCCTTATATTTATGGGTTAACATTCTGGTTTTATGAAAGTCTCACTACCTTAAAGTTCCACCTTGTCCTCCTTGTGTTTTATGTTCATAGTGCATGAATAAATGTACCTCAATAACTTCCCAAAAGTTGTTTGAAATAGGATTTTTGGTGTTGTTGATTAGCATCAATTTGCTTAGAGTTGGAATGCCACTTATTTAACCCTTTGCACTCCGAACCACTCTGGACATTGGCTACCAGCTACTCGACGCTACTTTGCGGTGGACACGTGCGTTGAATTAACTCAATTCCCCGTGATCACTAATAAACTGCAATGTCCCCTGAGAGGGGACATCCGAGTGATATGCTAGAATTCCGATGTCCCCTGAGAGGGGACAGCGGAGTGCAAAGGGTGAGGGAACTAGCTAGTTTCTGCTCTCTGATTTTGGTACTTTCACTTGCAAACTTCCTCAGCATACTGGCAAATGTTATTGTGTAGTATTTTTCAATTAAGATTTGTAATGAAAGCTAGCTGTCAGAATCTGAAACATAAGCATTTCCCACTACAACACTGACCCCAATTCTTTTTGTTGTTGTTTAACCTCTTCATACCACCAAACATGAAAATTAATCAGTATATCAGTGCACAACTTATTATATTTACTAAGTATTTATAGCTGATTTGTTTAAAAATTATTAGTACTTCTTTACCTATCCTCCGCAGTACTAACAGTAGTAATTTAAAAATGGAAATAAGAAGTAAAGCAAATGCAATGCTGTTTTGAACACTAGGTGGAGATGTATTTCCAAAGTGGGAATTAACAGATCATTATAACTTATCTTTCACTCTGATATACCATTTGTATAATGTCCAGAAAAGATTATTTCTCCATGCGGGGGGAGAATGTCACTTGTAAGATAACTCAGATAAAATCTTAGTCATTGTTCATTTTTTCTTCACTTGTTTACATATGCTATAGCTGGACACAAAACTGCTCAGAATAATGCACCTGTTATCTTATTTTTAAAACACACAGAAGAGGCTCAGAATGTGACTAGCTTCTGAGATAAAATCAAGACTCTGATCTTTGCCAGATGCCCTGAGAGCCTATTACTCAGGTTTATTTTTAATTAGCAATTGCTTTGTTGGGTTCAAGACTTGAGTGAAAGTCTTACCTGTTTCTGAACTGTCAGCAACTTTGTCCAACTATTAACGTCAGTTTATATTTCAGTCACATGTAGTTTTTTCAAAGATTTTTTCTTTTTAAGATGATCTAAAAAATGTTTATGAAATTATTCTGTTGCCTGGCCTCTTAAAAAACTTACAAAAATCCCTTTCTGAAATCTGTTATATAATGGGTGGTGGTGTTCCTAAGAGCCGCCATCATTGGGTTTACAATATTTATTTTTTATAACCCATATTTTCAAAGAAATAAAACATCATTGATTGTGGACTCACAACATCACTACAACATATATTTTAGCATCGCCTTCCTGCATTATTTGAATCAGAGAATTGGATGTGGTGCTGAGAGCTGGTAAGAGCGTGCCAGTGTTCTTTTCACTACTCTACTCGTTCTTCAGTAGCACAGATCCTTAGTTCACTGGCTTCTGCAGGTCCCATATACTGTGTTAACTGACCTTGAGAAGAGAAGCTACCTCATAACAAACCGGACAAGGCAGATGAAGCAATAAAATGCACTTGACGCTAATTATATATTTTCTGTTGGTCCAGCTGTCCAACCCCAGGATGTGATGGAAGTGGCCACGTCACCGGAAACTATGCGTCCCACCGCAGGTACCTCGTCTTATCATCTGGTTCTGATTTAAATATTAATTCTCGCCCATTCTAGAACGATATCTTGATCATGAATTAGAGAGTTAGTTTGTGTGTGTGTGTGTGTGTTGTGGGGGGTGGGGGTTTGTTTTACATAAATAAAACTAAGTTAAATCTTTAGTCTTCTTACTTATGTAGTATAGATATCATGATTTTGGTTAAAAATAGTTTTCTGCTCCTGTAGTTCAGGCTACAAAGTTATTCGAGTTTATGCCAGGGCTTTGGTTGTATCTGGCTTTAGTATTCAGGTAAAACAGAGGTAAGACAACAGAGTGACTGGGGTTGACCACTTACCTGTGGATGTGGCATTCCCAGTCCTGGGTATATAACAAGTCGAGGTGTTAAAAAGGTTAAACAGTGACAAAAGGCTCTGCTTAATCTTTGCACTTTCCTTCTTCATTGATTGGCTTGCCCTTTGGTGCTGATTGAAACTCGTGAGCCACCATCCTTTGGTGATGCCGTGGGAATGGACTCCTTGTCAGTAACGATTGTATCACTGCATTCTAGAATTGCCGAGCTCACTGGGTTAAAGCCCTTCGTTTGATAAAGAGCAAACCCAAGTCTATCAGGAATAATGGAGGTGTCCATGAGCCCAACCTGCTTAGAGTAACAAAGCCAGATTCAAGCCTAATTATTATTATTTTTTTCCAATCCCCAGTCACCAGAAAATATAACAGATATTCCCAGACTCAGGATGACATTTGAGGCAGATTTGTGTAATTCAGTGTTCTGTGTTTTGTTTTTGTTTTTCTCACCCCATTTTAGTGTTTCTGGATGTCCTTTAGCAGATAAGACGCTTAAGTCCCTCATGGCTGCTAACTCTCAGGAGCTTAAGTAAGTGTGGGAAGCATGACCTCTGTGCCTGTGCCCACTGTGTTGGGACTCTGCTCACTCAGGACCAGTGTGGTCACTAATGTCTAATAAAAAGTCACTCATTTGTCTCAGTGTATTATAACTAGAATGTTCAAATGACAAATCACTAGCTGTTAATTATTTTGCTTGCTTTGGGAGTTTTGATTTTTATAATTAATTTTAAAAGCAGTGATGTAATAGTATAAAAATACATGTTTTTTGTTCCCCTGTTAACTTCAGAATTTACATAACAAATCAGACTTCTGAAGGTGTGGCAAACAATTTCCATCATCTGATTTTAAGAAAACGGCATCATATTTTTCTTTATGGGCATTTTGAATCATCCGACTGCCTTTCACTTTTGGGTGCTAGACACAGGTGGCTCATTTTTACCTTGTTTACAGAATCTCAAAGTCATATGTATATTAACTTTTACATATTGATTTTATTTTCTCCATTCTTATCACTCTTATCTTTTTTTTAAAACATATTTTTATTGATTTCAGAGAGGAAGGGAGAGGGAGAGAGAGATAAAAACATCAATTATGAGAGAATCATTGATTGGCTTCCTCCTGCATGCCCCTTACTGGGGATTGAGCTTGCAACCCGAAGCACGTGCCCTGATTGGGAGTCGACCAGTGACCTCCTGGTTCATAGGTCAACACTCAACCATGGAGCCACCCAGACTCTTATCTTCTTTTATTACAAAGTTCTCACTTGTTTATTTTCATATTTTGTTATATTACATGTAGAATAATTAAAAGTAATTATCCACTTTATAACCTTTAAGAATAAAATAGGGCATACATTTAAAAAAAAACAAAGAAATAATATTAAACAAAATTAATAAACTTTACATGAAAATAATAATATTTTAGGAGAAATGAATGTTACTAAGTTTAATGATAAAACACTATTTATATAAATAGTAGAATCAACTTCTGGTATCTAAACCACAGGTACAATTTCAGACATTAAATGTTCTCAATTGTTTTTAGTATACCTATTTTCTAAATTGTTCTAAAATTTTATCTTAAAATTACAGAGAATAAGTCTGTGAGGAAAGATGGAATATTAAATAGATATAACATTCAGAATTTTAGTACCAGAAAAAGTAAAGAGAACTGTACAATATACAACTTTCCTCATTTTCAAAGTGTAAACTACAATAGATTGTGTTGGTATAGATTCTGGAAATTGTTTTACTGACTACCACTTCCACAGACTGACACATAAGAATGCTAACTAAAAACTAATAAGAGATTGAAAAGAGAAGTGCTAGGTATACTTACTCTTATTTCATCTTACTCAGTACTTAGCTACTCAATCTTATAGAATTGCTCTGAACTTCCATATTGCTGTGCCTTGAGAGTGACTGTAGGTTCTCTTAAGTATTTTCTCGAAACGTTATTTCTAGGGAAAAAATGTAGGTTGATAGGTCTTATAGCAATCTCCAGTACTTATGTTTTATATGGTCATCTACTAAGTAACAATTTTGGATCTTCTCTGTACATAGAAGAAAAAGAGACACTTCATTAACCTCTTCTTTAGAGACTCAAGAACTCCAAGGCAAGGTCACTTGACAAAGATTTTTCTGTAATTGCAATATGGTACTAAGCCAGTAAAACATTAATAGAAAAAAAAAACAACAACAACTAGCATTTAACTCTTTCCTGCAAAATAAATGGTATTATATATGAAAACGGTTGATTGAAGACTCAATGCATAAGTATGATTTCACTCATATGCAGGCTATAAAACTGAAAACAAGACAAACAAAATTTCATAGACTCAGACAACAATAAGGTGGCTACCAGAAGGAAGGGTAGGAAGTGGTGAATATATGGTGATGGGAGGAGATTTGCCTTTGGGTGGTGAACACACAATGCAGAATACAGACGATGTATTATAGAACTGTACACTTGAAATCGATATAATGTTATTCATCAAGGTCACCCCAATAAATTTCATGTTAAAAAAGTAAAAAATAAAAAAATCAATGCAGGTTTCTCTGGTTGGCTTAAAGAGATATATGCTGATTTTATATTTCATTTGAAAAAAGCATTTACTCCTATTTTCTGCCTCAGGATTGAATGTAAAAACATTTTCATGAAAGTTCAGTGGGTTCAAGTTTAAGAAAAGGGGAAATATTCAAATTTTCCTTTTGGTTATTATTTTTCTAAAACTTGTGTTTGGGTAGAAATCTGAACCATTGTGAGCATATAACTGAAATAATAAAGATAATTTCTTCAAGAAAATTTTTATGTCAGTCGGCGTGTATCTATTAGCATTTGGGATTTTTAAAAAAAAGCAAAAGGGAGAGAAGCAGTATAAACTGTATTCAAGTGTATTTTGAAACTGAATTCTAATTAGCCTTCGAGCAGAATTGGGTTTCCCCCCCTCTTTTCCCTTTCTCATTCCAAATTTAACAGTTGATTGTCAGTAGTAGTTATTGGTAGATTTTCCAAAAGGCCATTTAAGTTGGACCATGAGGCAGAACAGACCAGGTGTAATGCCTTCGCTCCTTTGGCAACCATATTCGTGTGCCAGGCCTCTGGATTCACATAGAACACTGTTGTTCACCTGAGCTCAGTGGATTATTATGGTAGTGGAGATTATCAAAGAAAATAAATTATGCCCTAAACCAATTTGGAAGACTGTTTTTCTTAAGTGAAAGATGAGAACTTTGCATGATATAGACAGAAGCCCAGCACTAAGTTGTGGGTCAAATTTTAGGTTCCTTTAAAAAAAAAAAAAAGTTTAAAAAAAAATAGGCCCTGGCTGGTTTGGCTCAGTGAAGGGTCCCAGGTTCGATTTTGATCAAGGGCATATGCCAATCTCCAGTGGGGGGCATGCAGGAGGCAGCGGATCGATGATTCCCTCTCATCACTGATGTTTCTGTCTATCCTCCCCTCTCCCTTCCTCTCTGAAATCTATAAAAATATATTTTAAAAAAAGAATGTATGATAACTAAAATAGTCTATCAAGCCTAACACAGGAGCTGCATAACTTAATACATGTTTAAGATGGATTCTTTGCCAAAAACTAATTTTACTTAAGCTACACGGGCCCACCCAAAGCAGCTCATTCTGTTGAGTTCTGTGTGCATGTGTCATGGTTCCCCTCCCTCCACCACAGCCACGCGGCCAGAGCTCTGTTCCTGTGTTTTCCAGGTGTCCAACCCCAGGTTGTGATGGTTCGGGGCACGTGACTGGAAACTATGCTTCCCACAGAAGGTAGGAGGGACCCATTTCTGAGAAATGAGCTCAGTGCCAGCAGCAGTGGCCATGGAGATGACACGGTTTGTTCTTTGTTGGGTGCATATTTTAGTTTGTCCGGCTGCCCTCGTGCCAGGAAAAGTGGCGTCAAAATGACCGCTACGAAGGAAGAGAAAGAAGAACCTGAACTCAAGTAAGTGCGACAGCGGTGGCAGCAAGTAGCTTGTGGGTCCGATGGGCGGGACCTCGGCTGTGGTGCCAGTGGGTGCTGATTGCATCTCACACACAGGGATCCTGGAGGCAGCTCTCAGTGTTTGAATATTTGAGAAACATTTTCCATTCATAGCAGTATTTCCACAGATGGTTGATACAGTAAAGTTAGGAGGAGAAGGACCATACTTCTTGCAATTGTTTTAAAGGAAAACAGCATTGTGGAAGCACTACAGAACAGCAAATTGGCAGCATTCCCCGCCCTGGAGCTTTAATTTTGCTTAAGGCGAACTTTTATGTAAATTAAATTTCCTCCTCTGAGACATAGGTTACCAAGGCTAGGATGACATATAAAAATATAGATATAGAAATTAAAAAAAAATTTAATTGATTTCAGAGAGGAAGGGAGAGGGAGAGATAGAAACATCAGTGATGAGAGAAATCATTGATCGGCTGCCTTCTACACGTTGCACACTGTGGATCACGCTCGTAACCCGGGGCACGTGCCCTGACTGGGAATCGAACCGTGACCTTCAGGTTCCTAGGTTGATGCTCAGCCGCCGAGCCACACCAGCTGGGCTAGATGTAGAATTTTAAATTGTTTGCTAGCGTTTCTAAGAATAATGGATATCTGGACACTGGAATTCCAGCTCTATGAGCAGTGAGCTATGTGATGTAGGACAAGGTAGTTAACATTTTGCAGGCAGTGTAACACAGGGCTTACCGGGTTGGTTAGGGCTAACGAGGGTGCGTCTGAACTTGGCTCCACTTCTTGTAAAATGGATGACAAGTTTCCGAAGCTGTATAAGCCTCATTTCCCCCACCTGTAAAATGGGATGATTACACTCTCTGCCCATTAGATTTTCACTGAAGGCTACGGGAGGTAATGTGAGCCCAGGGCCCGTGGGCCGTTAGCCCTGCTAGAACCACGGTGTTTCGCTAGTTGCATTGGCGTCTTTCAAAGTCTATAATCTCCCCATTGCCTGCTGGGTAGTGAGGAACCGCCACTCCCTTCTTGGTCGCTCAGTTACTGCATGTCTTGTGAGTTGTCCGTTCTCTCCCGGCTGGTAACCTCTCTGCTGTGTCCCTCTAGATGTCCTGTGATAGGGTGTGACGGCCAAGGTCACATATCAGGTAAATACACCTCCCACCGCACAGCTTCTGGCTGTCCCCTGGCTGCCAAGAGACAGAAGGAGAACCCTCTCCATGGGGCCCCCCTCTCCTGGAAACTGAACAAACAAGAACTTCCACACTGTCCCCTGCCGGGCTGCAATGGGCTGGGCCATGTAAATAATGTGTTTGTCACCCACAGAAGGTAACCTTTACTCTCTTTCTGTCTGTTGTCGTGATTATTTGTCACCTGGGGGTGGGGGTGAGGCTTTGGGGGGGGGGGGGTTGGGGGGGGGGGCCCTCCGCGGGGTTACAGGGCAGAGCGTTTGAGATGTGATGACAATGAGTGTTGCAGAGCGTTGACTGGCTTGAAGAATCAAACCCTGTTTCCCTGTTTCTGAACATTGGCTGCACGATGTACAAGTGATTCCAGCAATGGTGCCTTTGTCCTTTGTATGCTGAAATGTTGCTTATGCTGCTATTTTTCTTTAATGGTTCAGTCTTTTCATGGTTTATTTTAGTCCCAAGAGGTAATATCTACTGGGTTATGCTGTGTCATTGCAAACGTTCACTCTGCATATTTCCGCCATTTTCTGCCTCTCATGAACTGGCACAATTTCAGGCCAAGTTGTAGTTATTTTTTTCTGCTGGGAAGAGGGGACTCACCCCCAGCAGCCAGAAAGAGGAGAACAGTGACTACTGAGTGTGTGACAGGATGAGAGCGATTTGGAAAAGCCTTTATGGTTTCACAGTGATGTCCTGCCTTTGTCACCGAGTGTCACACATTAAACAGAGGTTGTTGCGGGCACAGTGACCACACTCTGCCTAAAGGCAGGTTCCCCACACGCTCCTTCCATAGCGAGGGCCCTCCCAGCCTCGCAGCCTGGGCATGGGATACAGGTTTCTTATCAAACGGAGCTCCAGTGAGCCCGCTGCTTTGCTTAGGAGCAGAATGTGGATTGAGCAATGCCGGGCCATTTTAACATTTTGTTCCGTTTTAAAGCTGCGCATCCATGGAATCAGAAAAGTGAAACCTTCCAGGAATCACTCATTTAAGAGGATATGCAGTGACACCTGCTTACGGAGAAAACCTGAACTTTTAAAGTCATTTATCTTTTGATGGTTTTCAAATGCCTCGTCTCTTCCCTAGTAGTACAAACTGTTTTATTCTGAGTTGTTGGAATCACTGTCCCATAGTCAGAAATGGCAGTGGCAAATCAAGTGTGCCTAATATCACTATTAACTTTCTTATCACGAACTGAGCAACAGCCACGTTCACACTGATAATGAAATGTTACTGCTATGCTATGGTGAGCGCACCCCTCAGTCAGCAGCAACAGGTAGCTTTAAAAATATATAATTTTTATTGATTTCAGAGAGGAAGAGGGAGAGGGAAAGAGAGAGAGAGGGAAAAGGAGAGGGAGAGGGAGAGGGAGAGGGAGAGGGAGAGGGAGAGGGAGAGGGAGAGGGAGAGGGAGAGGGAGAGGGAGAGGGAGAGGGAGAGGGAGAGGAGAGAGAGAGAGAGAGAGAGAGAGAGAGAGAGAGAGAGAGAGAGAGAGAGGGAAACATCAATGATGAGAGAGAATCATGGATCGGCTGCCTCCTGCACACCCCCACCGGGGATGAAGCCCATAACCCAGGCATGTGCCCTTGACTGGAATCAAACCTGGGACCTTTCAGTCCACAGGCCAACACTCTAACTACTGAGCCAAACTGGCTAGGGCAACAGAGGTAGCTTTAAAAGCATGAAGAAGCTTTAGACGACACCAAGGCAAGCTGAGGACCACCGGATTCTCACACAGCTGCAGGTAGAAGAGTAGTGGGGAAAGCCACGCCAGGAAGTGAGTGGCCTTCAGGAGTCAGGTTGAAAAAGAGCAGGCGAACAGGCCTGCTGCCCAGCCTCTGAGCTGTTGGGCTGATGCCCCAGAAGGTTCCTCATGGTGCAGCTCAGAGACACGTCTGAGAATGTCTGCCATGGCATTGCTCTACCAACTCCAAGCTGGAGGCAACCTGCCTGCCCACTGGCCGCCGAGGGCATAAGGGATCAGTGTCTGTCCTAGTACACAGGGATTGCCACGCAGGGTGAAAATGAAGGCACAGTGCAGGGGACTTTTATAGAGCCCAATGCCGAGCGGGAAACATTTGCTGCTGGAGATCATGTTCGGTATGATTCCGATTACAGAGAGTTAAAAATGTAGCAACATTACGTTGTAAAAATCGGGGTAATGATTCCCCCACAATTCCAGTTAGTGGTTTTCTCCGGGGCGGGAGACAGCAATGGGGGAGGGGCTCAAGGAGCTGCGGAGGAGCTGACAAGGCACGTGTCCCATGGGAAGGAAAACCGTGTTCGTTGTAGGAGAATTCCTTACACTGCAGACCCATCGTGTCCATCTGTGTGCACATGATGTATTTCTTAATATGGACATCGAAATGAAGAGTTCAAAGAAAATACAGGCTGCAAAATTAATGACCAGATAGTGTTTTTCTAGGAGAAGGAAAGCAGTTAACAATTTAGGCAAACGAGTAACTCAGATCTCACTGCTCTTCACTGGAGATCTCTCTCGTTCCTCACAAGATCCCAGAGACTGCATTTCTTTAATGCTGAATGCTTTTCTTCCTTATATATGTGTATATGTGCATATTATTTTGCATATTATTTAATGGAATAATATAACAACAACAACAACAACAAAAGCCCAGCTTCTCCTGGCACACCCACAGGTGTTCGATACAGACTATCTTCTTTCTCTTTCTATAAAAATTACATTAACACACATAGGACACAATATTTTTTTAAAAGTGAGAATGACTTAAACTGGAATAGCACATTCTGACCTGCCATAGGCATTTACATGCAATGTATTCTGAACCTAAAGTTCAGGACTCTTTCCAGTCACCAAAGGCAGCTGGCAATCACCAGCTCCAGGCTCTCTGTGTTCCAGCAGAAGGCACTGTGCTAAGCAACGTTCATGGTTTATTCTCTCAAACCTCCACACATCCCTGCAAGCCGCAGGGCGCTGTAATGATCGTCCATGGGCGTAAAGGACATGAGCACAGGGATGTGCCGGAGTTGCCCCTGCAGACAGCACTGGGATGCCAGTCCCCTAGGGTGAGCGCTGTTAACAATAGTTAAAAAATATTCCATCTCTATGTTAACTCAGCGTTATATTTACATGCCAATTGCTTTAAAAGCTTGCTTTAAATCAGGCGTCTTCAAACTACGGCCCGCGGGCCACATGCGGCCCGCAGAGGAGTCTGATCCGGCCCGCCAGGTTTTTTGGGCAGTGAGCGCAGCCGAGGTGTTACAGTAGGACTTAGTAGTTCATATAGTCCGGCCCTCCAGCTCTCTGAGGGACCGTGATCTGGCCCCTACTTTAAAAAGTTTGAGGACCCCTGCTTTAAATCTTTACATTATAAGCTCCCATTTGAGGAATAGCAATCTGGCCCCGACTGTTTTAGCTCAATGGATAGAGCGTCATCCTACAAAGGGTCCTGGGTTCGATTTTGGTACAAGGGCACGTACCTTGGTTGAAGGCTCCTCCCTGGCCCAGCTGGTCAGGGCTTGTGCAGGAGGCAACCAATCAATGTGGTTCTCTCACATCAGTGTTTCTCTCTGTCTTCCCCCCTCTCTCCCGCTCTCCCTAAGAATCAATGGGAAAATATCCTTGGGTGAGGATTAACAACAACAAAAGAAACAATATTGAAAATCTTTTTTTTTCCTTGAAATATTAATGTTTATTGCATGTAATATTGTTATATTTAAAAGTTTTTCTTGAAATATTAATGTTTATTGCATGTAACATTATTATGTTTAAAATCATTTTTCTCGAATTAAAAAAAAAGAAAGAAGAAAAGAAATAGCAACCTGAAGACAACTATGACATTAAAATACAAAGACACAAGCACACAGGCACATGATTGTGGTTGTATGTAGCTGTTAAAACAGAATTTCTGTGACTAATAGAACTCAGTGCTAGGCCATCACTTTGTAATTTTATGAGGTTCATTAATCTATTAGAAACAGTGATGTCCACTACATAAATTTTAACACTTGCCATTTTATTTTAACAAGGTAGATGAAGATAGGATGGTTCAAAATTGCCTTGATATGACTTAATAGAATTTAAAATTTGATCAAAACCATTTCGGGCGCACTTTCCCACCATTTGCATTATGAAGCCCAAATCCTGACAGGGACGTGTCCCAGCCAACCGCCACCTTTTCTCAGCCAGCGACATGGAACCGCCTGGAGGGCATCCTCAAAAGATGGAGGACTTTTAAAATAAATATTTTTCCACCCAGAGTTTTAGATGCAGGATCTGCTTTATATTCTGAAAGGTGAACTGCATTGGATGATACAAAATGTCAAGCAGCTATTTAGAAACCAGAGCCCTTCTTTCAGATCTTAAATAGACTCACACTGCTGGCACTTGCCACACCAGTGAGTTACAGCTGGACGCTCACTGCCGGGCTGTCCGAGCCACGCAGATCTTTTAGGGGAAACAGAGAGAGGAATGAGCTGTGAGTGTCCATTACTTCACACACGGACTCTGACGGGTCACTTTAAAAACCGAACTTAGCAACAAGTTATTAGTCCTCTTCATGGCCATTTTCTGAGAACACTCTGTGCCATGAAACAAGACAGATTTGTGAAAACGTTCCAGAAAAACAAATGAGGAAGCTTAGGTAGGCTGCACTTTACAATGAGAAACTTCTAAAATAAAAAAAATCAGGTGCAAATTCAGTTTGTGCTTTTTCTTTATTTTACATAATTTATCAATTTTTGGCAAATCACACGATCCTTTTTATGTATAATATTACATATTTAACTTTTACATTTTATATAATCTTTGCATACAATAATGCAGAGTTCTTTAAAAATACACTCATTCAGCAAACTTTTACTTTGCTTCAGACATAGTATTTTTTCCACTTGGCCAAGTGTCCTAATCTTTGGATTGAAAAGAATTGTTTCATATATGGATTATAATCACATTTCTGTGGGAAAATATTTTCAATGACTGTGATCATCTTTAATTTTTATTTAAAAATTGTATATCCAAAACACAACAAAATTACAAAAGGATTAATAGGTGTTTAAAACAACAAAATCATCTGATTATGTATCATGGAATACAAGCTTTGTTCAATGTTATTATCCTCGTGGTGCAATTTAAATATAGCAGATTCATTAACGGAAGGACTGCTGCAGACTGAAAATAAAGAACAGAGTATAAACATCACTATAGGTGATGTGCTGCCTGGGCAGTGATTATGTCTGAATACATTTATAGTGGTTCCTTTTATTTTCCTTTCAAGGTAGAGCTTTTTTTGAATGACTAATAATGGCTTAAAAGTTAAAAAATAAGTTAGAAACTTTCCCATACCCAACTGCCTGGGGAAGGAGGGTTATTATTTTGTAATAATTGGAATCATTCTGTACAGGTCAGGCAATATAGTATGTATAAAGATGGAAAGAACTAGACTCTGCTTTATTATTCATGGAAGTTTGACTAATTTGGGACAATTCTTATTAATAATGTATGTACCATTTCATGTTTACAGGAAATAAAGTAACCACTACTAAAGAAAGGCACTTTACATGAATGCAGAGTAGAAATAATTTGATAACATTAATTAAATGGTATCGGCAGTAGCTATTTGTATTTCTATTGAAAAAACCCCACACAAAACATTTTACATCTTTTCAGGGCATTTTGCTTTTATTTTTATAGATATTGTTACTTTCTACAAAGGGACTGCATGTTATAATGTCACTAATAGGCAGGCAAACACTTAAATAGTAAATAGTGAATAAAAATTTTAATTTTTATATGAAATAATATGTTTCACACATCAGCATATTCATATTTTCACAGCTTATCTGGATGTCCTTTAAATGCACAAGCTATCAAAAAGGGCAAAGTTTCGGAAGAACTAATGACTATCAAGCTCAAAGCAACAGGAGGTAAGAGTTCATGGCCAGGGTCAACATCTCCATGGAGGTCCAGGTCACAGGGTTCCACATGCCAAATTATACTTCATTTGGGAATTGTAATTTTGATATACACTAAAGCTTTTCTCACATTTGAACTAAAAGTAAAATGTTTATTTCAAAACAATACCGTAAGCTTGTTTTATTTTCCTTTTTAAAAAATATGTTTTTATTGATTTTAGAGAGAGAGAAAGGGGGAGGGATGGAGATATGAAAATCAGTGAGAAAGAGACATCAATCAGCTGCCTCCTGCACATCCCCTACTGGGGATCGAGCCTACCACCTGGGCATGTGCCCTGACCTGGAATTGAACCGGTGACCTCTTGCTTCCTGGATTGACACTCAACCACTGAGCTACACCAATCGAAAATGCCATTCCTTGAAAAGGAAGTTGACTCCAAAGAGACATAAAGAAAAAACCACCACAATATACTGTATATAAAAGAAACATAGCAAGAGAAGTTTTCATTTGCTCAAAACACTTGTTTAATTGAAAAATCTATGCTCCAGAAAGTTGTTGAAAACAACTTTATATTTTAATCCCTGTGGCCTGGGAAAAGATTCCTCTACCAGCACATCAGCCAATAAGACACGGTGCTGACGGTGCAGCACCTTCTCCAGATGCTGCAGGCCAGTGCGGAACGAGCCCCGTGTCCCAGATAGTGCCGTCAGGGAGGCCATGGGTGATCGTTTTATCTTTTCTTAATGACTGCATCGTCCTGTTACTCACACGCAAGCTCATTCAGATACTGAAATACCGAGATCTAAGCTGGTGAGTTTGCTTTTATTCTTTATCGAGTCTCAGAGCCCAGTGTTAAGCATTTATCACACTCCCTCCATTGGTCCACGAATGGCCCATTGTGTGTAGGTAGTTAGTTACTTATAATAAAGCAGAAAGTACCTACAAAACAGCCACCTGATGAATCACGCCGCATGTACGTTCTCCAGGCTTATTTTTTCTCTCGTAACATTGTAGGAGTAAGAGTCATCCATGTTGTTTTCGGGGAGCATGTAGCTCCTTTCCAGGTCGGACCTCTGTGAACAGTATGCTGCATGCACTTGTGCCGCCTCCCCTCGGACACATGCAGATGCTTGTCTCTGGTGTGTCCCTGGGGCTGAAATGGCTGGATCACAGCGTATGTAAGGCTCACCTACAGCAGATAATGTGCTGGAGTGACCCCAGGAAAGTGGAAGAGCCTGCATCTCCAAACTAATTGTCAAGTCCCCATTCTGCTCTCATGAAACTGGTCTTATTCAATCTAAAGTGAAAGTTGACATGTGTCTCTCTTAATGGCCATCTGTTTGCTTTAGATTCATCACTATGGACTGTTGGGATGACCTTCAACCCTGCTTCCGGCTTCCTTCCTATCCGCTATCTATCCCACCTTTTAAAACCTTATACAGTACATTGATGTTCCTTCTATGAAGTAGTGATGGGAAAGGGATGCCTGTTCATTGACAGTTTACTCTGTGTTCAGCACTCTATATATATTATTTTGCATTAATTCTCACAACGTAGATTGTATGCCTCTTTTACAGACAAGGAAGCATAAAGAGCTGAGTTTCCCAAGTTTAAGAACAAGAATTACAGGCAAAGCACATGTTTCTTGTAGGTTGCATTTGCTCCCAACCCAGGCCCATGTTGAGAACCCAAATTCCGTGTCCCTGGACTCGTACCCTCCTGCCAGCACCCTGTGTAATGGGACATTAATTGACCAGCATAACTGGATCTTCATAGCCTTTACAGTGCTGTGCACAAGAGGACGCATGGCCTTTGGGATTCGGCCCCACCTCGGCCTCTGACTTTGGACTTGGGCAGGTTCTCTTTAAAATATATATATATTTTATTGATTTTTTTACAGAGAGGAAGGGAGAAGGAGAGTTGAAAACATCGATCTGCTGCCTCCTGCACACTCCCTACTGGGGATGTGCCCGCAACCAAGGTACATGCCCTTGACCAAAATTGAACGTGGGACCCTTGAGTCCACAGGCTGACGCTCTATCCACTGAGCCAAACCGGTTAGGGCCTGGGCAGGCTCTCTCTCCTGTCAGTGATGAGGATGGCTTCACTCAGCTTAAGGCTCAACGTCTTCATGTTTGAGAAAGGGACCATGGAACACGACTCCCAGTGGGCAGTGAAGCTGAAATGAGAAAACACAAACACCAGCATGTCTCGCATCTCACCTGCAGTGTAAAGGGCAACATTGAACAGTGGCGCTTTTACCCGCCCTTCTTTTTCTTACATGGGATTTAAACCCTCCAACTCCATTTCCCTCTCATTTTAGAATCTTGAACATGAATGTGGAGACAAATTCAACATTTCACACTGAAGTCTGCTTTCTACTTCACACACCACAAACTAAATGTAAAGTGAATGAGATTGATCGGTCTCATAATTTCAGCGTACACTAAGGGAGTCTGATTCTCTGCAGGTATAGAGAGTGATGAAGAAATTAGGCATTTGGATGAAGAGATAAAGGAACTGAACGAATCCAACCTTAAGATTGAAGCAGATATGATGAAACTTCAGACGCAGGTAAAGGACCAGAAAGGTATCTTCCTGGTAATCATTCTCTTTAGCGGAGGCAAAACATGGAACTGCTAAACTTTGTGATAAAAAAACAAAACAAAAACCCACACACTGATATCTTATAATGAATATGCTAAGCATGTCTAGATTACGTAATTATTGTAAATACGAGAGTAGTGGGTCACTTGGGCCAGCATTGATTTGGTAGCTGAAGGCAAAGGTATTCATGTTTCTGTTTTGGGGGCATCAAAGGCTTTATGAGCAGGTTCTCATCCTGAAGTTGTAGAGTCCTTTAGAGCAATTGTATATGGTGCTTTAGAGGAGTTGTATACGAGAAGATCTGAGTACTTAGTTTTATTCAAGAATGTAAGTAAAACAGGGCAACTTTTCACATTCAATTTTTCTACGGCACCTCTGAACGTGCCCATTTTTATTAAAGACAGATCTTTCTGGAGAGTTTCCTGCGTAGCTTCTTTACCAAAAATTGCGAGCCATGTCTTAACTCTGCATTCTCCTTTGTAAAGTCTGCCCCATCCCTGCCTAGATTTATCCAAATGGAAACTAAAAATGTAGTCCAGAATTTTTTTTTAGCACACTAAATAATAACTCTATTGCAAAAAGTACGTATCTTTCTCCCTTCTCTCCTCTCCTGCAATGTAGGGTTTGTAGACCATGGTGGTGACTGACTCCCAGAAGTCATTGCCAGCAGTGTAAGACAGAAGGTTTAAGTCCACCTGAAAGTAGGTTTGCTTCCCTGAACCAGTGTAACGTGAACCATGCCACGATCTTCCATTGAATAATGATCGGTCTATAAAAGAGCTCGTTTACAACTCCTCTCACAATCATTAGGGAAGACAGCAAAGGCCTCTGCCCTCATGGAGCTTCAGGTCTAGAAGGGGGAGGCCGACAATAACATAAACAATCATAAATAAAAAAATTGTTTGACGTGGCTCTCATGGCTCAGTGGTTGAGCATTGACCTATGAGCCAGGAGGTCATGGTTCCATTCTTGGTCAGGGCACATGCCCAGGCTGTGGGCTCGATCCCCAGTGTGGGGTGTGCAGGAGGCAGCCGATCACTGGTTCTCTCTCATCATTGATGTTTCTATCTCCCTCTCCCTCTCCCTTCCACTCTGAAAGCAATAATAAGAGAAAGATAGAGGGGGGGGAGAGGGAGGGAGAAGGGAAAGGAAGGAAGGAAGGAAGGAAGGAAGGAAGGAAGGAAGGAAGGAAGGAAGAAAGAAAGAAAGAAAGAAAGAAAGAAAGAAAGAAAGAAAAAGAAAAAGAGAGAGAAAGAAAAAAATAAATTGTTGTATGGGAAAAGAGGTGGGGAGAGGCAACCAGATTTCAATATAAAACAGGAGAGCCAGGCTGGGCATCAAGAAGGAGTCATTTTAGCAAAGACTTCAGGAATTGCGGGAGTTTGCCAAATAAGTATGGGGGGCGGGGGCGCAGGGGGAGTATTTCAAAGAGTGAAAGCAACATACCAAAACACTAAATTCAGAGAAAGCAGAGTTTTGAAAACTAGCAGGTGAGTGATGTGGGAGATAAAGGAGACTAGTCCCAGGGGCAGCACAGGAGCGTCCGAGGCCATTCTTAGGACTTGGTTTTTATTCTGAATGAACACAAATCATTTTAGGGTTTTGAACCAAAAGAAACCTGTGTTGGTAGCTGTGTGGTAGATGGACCAAAAGAATCGATTGCAGGGGCCAAGGCCACACCCAGGGCCACCCGTGAGAAGGCAGCCAGTCACTCTGGCACTTGGCTCAAGGGACAGCAGTGAAGATGGGGACTATCGTCCCATCCTGGATGTCCTGAGGAGGAGCCCAGGGGATTTAGAGGGAGAGAGAAAGAGCCATCAGGGATCACATGAAGGCCTGAGCAATGTTCTAGTTGCGACTCGCCGGGAAGGAGAAGACTGAAGTACATGGGGCGGTTGGGGGAAACACACAGAGCCTGAGATATCCATCCTATAGCCACGTGGGGGCGAGGGGCAAGTCTGGGCCGACGACATACATTTGGGAAGGCCATTTCAAACCTGAGCGCCGTCGATGGGGTTGCTGATTTGTGAAGAGAAGTTATAGGGGAGGCATTCCTGGGCTTCTAAGTTCAGCCAGTGCATTCCCTTCGAAGAGAAACATGTTGTACTCCTTCCAAACTCCACTTCTTTTATTTTCAAGTCATTTCCATTGCAGATCACATCAATGGAGAGCAATTTGAAGACAATAGAGGCGGAGAACAAGCTGATCGAACAGAGTAACGAAAGCCTCCTGAAGGAGCTGGCAGGCCTAAGCCAGGCTCTCATTTCAAGCCTCGCCGACATCCAGCTCCCGCAGATGGTGAGTCCAAGGCCAGGACGTGGCCGCCCCATTCCCAGGGTTTGCGGGTCAGTGCCAGTCACCACCAGGGCAGCCGGACAGAAGCACCGGGCTTTGAGGAGACCTGTCAGCGGTCACTGAGGGGTCATGCTTCATCATGGGTGACTTTGCAATGACCTCCTTCATTCGGAGATTCATACACTTAAATTACATGAAGGCCAAGGGTTTTTGATACTGTAGAAGTCATTTAAAGGTGAAGGTCTATTTGTAACTTGTTTTATAATGTAATATGAAAGTTGGAGGCCAAAACTCTCAGGCTAAAATTGTTTCTCCAAATAAAAAAAAAAGCTTTACAAGCGCATGTGGCTTGCACAATCTGAGACGCAGCCATTTGTGGCATCCACCCCATTTAAGAATTGTAGGAAAGAATCTAACCTGATGGTGTTTTTGTGCTAAGTATGAAGGCCATGCTTAAGTCATCTTCGTATAGAATGGAAAACACAAAGGTGATATTCCCAAATCTAAACACATTATTTGAAGCACGGCAACTATTTAACATTTATAGGAAACTAGTTTCCTTTACATTTTCATAAATATAATAAACATTGGAAAGGGGGCTGCATTGTTGAATGCTTTTAACTTCCTCACAGTATCCATTTTTAGAACAAGTTTTCTAATGCTGCATACTTTATATATAGGATGTGTTAAAGAAACAGCAATTTAATAAGAGAAATATGATATTTTCTGAAAACAAGTCCCTCAAGTTACCCAAATTCCAAATCTGTCTCTTGACAATTAAAAAAAAAATCAATAATGTAATACTATAAAACACAAAGGAAACCAAATGATTACTTTGTGGTCAGTGTTGAGGTAATTATTGAACATTATTGAATATTATTTATTAATGTTTGTTTAACTCATACTTCAAACATATTCCTTAACATTTTTTTCCTTATCAGTGCCACTAAAATAATCACCACCCTACAAGGTAACTTGTACTTTGCATAGTTATCCTATAAGGTACTCTAACGGCGAGTTTTAGGGTCAGTCACACTACATTTTCACACAAGCAGCCGCGGGCATCCTTCCCTTCCTTCCCAGACTCAGAGTCCCTGCAGGCTGCCGTGCCCTTTGGTCCTCCTTTCGCCTCCGCCTGGACCCCTGTGATTGGTTCCCTCTGTTTTGTCTTCCTCCAGGGGCCTATCAGTGAGCAGAATTTCGAAGCGTATGTAAATACCCTCACAGACATGTACAGCAACCTGGAACGGGACTATTCCCCAGAATGCAAAGCGCTGCTAGAGAGCATCAAACAGGCGGTGAAGGGCATCCACGTGTAGGAGTGCAGCGGGCGGGCACCAGGGATCCCCCTTCGCAGCCACACCGGTGCACCGGGCACCTGCGCTGCATTTACAGCTGCAACCTTGCACTACTCTCCTCCCCAGCTGACATAAAAAGGAAAGAAAGAAAAACCTATACTAGACTCTATGGATGAAAAGCAACGCTGTCAAATATTAGATGGTATTTATTTTCATAAGTTTTTTTTCTTTTATTTCCTCATGGCACTCTTTGGAATTTTTTTTTCTTTGTAAAGTATATGTAAAGTAATCTGTGACCTTTTAATATTTTATTCTTTTCTAATCAAAGAGGTGTGTTTTTTTAATCTTTTAACTGCATTTTGAAGTCTGCCATATTTTTTACAAGTGTGTTTCTTTCTTCCAGTAGAATTTAAATAGAAATGCTAGTCTCAAATCACATACCTTGCTGGGCTTACATGAGAAAAAACAAACAAAAAAGTCTGAAGGAAATCTTTGTCTAAGGATTGCACTGTGCCCCAGTTTGATTTTTATTACACTCTTCCCCCCTCCCCCTTCCCCCTTCCCCCTTCCCTAGCTTTTGCATTTGTAAGTGGGCTTGTGGTAAGGTGAGAGGCATGGAAGGAAGAAGATAAATGGCGCCCCCTAGTGGACAGTGCGCTCTCACAGAAGCACAGGTACTGGAGAAGCCCGTTCAGAATTGGTTAGCAATAATTAAATATAGAAATCAGCCAATTACTCTACTTGGCTGTATGGTTTTGAATTATTTATCTGAAATGTTTTAAAGAAACATGAGCTTTTTTTAGTGGTGCAGATTTGTCTGTTTGTTTTTCAAGTCATATCAGATAGTTGGCAACTCTTATCCCAAGACGAGAAATAGGACTTGATGTGACCAGCCAGGTTTCCCTGCCATATGTTGGTACAATATACAAGTGACAATATTGATGTAGATTTGTACTTAGCAGATACAAACACATCCGAATGGAAAATTTTGTAGATACCGTATATCCCCTGAAATAGCATTTATCTTACTTGGTTGACAGAAAGGAATGGAAAACTATAGTAACACATGGGAAAAAAAAAAATGTTATTCCAATCTGAGCAATTACTTTAGGCAACAATAAAACTTTCAATTCGATCACTTATCTTTCTGAAGAACTACAAGTGCTGCTGAGTAAGCACACTCAACACACAGGCACACACCCACACAGACACACTCGCCTACGCTCACACACACATACAATTGAGCCCGAAATCTTGACTTTCTGCATAGATCAGAGTTTAGTAGTTGCTATAGTAAAGGCAATGTCTATTTCAGGGATTGTAAAGTAGTTAAGCATTGTTTCAAAAGTTTTTTTATATTTATTTTTTTTAAAGAAAAGGTATAGACAACCAGCTAAACTGCCTTTTTGGTGTGCACACACACCTCGTGTGCAATGTGCCTCCGTGTAAATGGACACTTGAACTTAGTGTGGGCTTAAGCTTCTGTTCTATAACAAAAGTGTTTATTTTCTATTTGCCTCATGGGTAGGTAGGTTGAATGTGATGGCACTCACAGGCTTGATATATTCCACTGTTATTACTGTTACCTGCACAAATTAAGAGTAATATCGACAGTGATTTCACTTCCATGCCACTGTGGTCATTGTTATGTATTAAATGGGGCTTATCTTTGGTTTGGGGTTCATTTGAACTCTTGGATTTAGTTTAGTGACAATGAGATGTCTGTTCTTAGGTAGGAATGGTGTTTATTTAAAAATCAATTTATAAAGAAAAAGAGCTACCATATGTGCTGTCTATTATAAATGAGACACCAAACAAAATTTTCTATTAAAGTTATGTACTGCAAACAGTTTGCTCTAGAGTACTTGATAGTTGCATACAAATGGGTTCACTTATTATAAAGACAAATCTTAATTTGCTAAATATTTTAACAACTTTGTTATATATTTTATTTAATTTAAAAGAAAATTTCTTACCAGCCTATGTATTTATTACTATAATTTACTATGACTTCCGAGTTAATAATTTATTTGTGTTTGCATAGTTTGAGCAGTATGTTTTATGAAGTATATTTGTATTTATTTGCCTCCTTTGTACTTGACGTGTTTTGTAATTTGCACTGAATTTATTTTCCTTTCAACTATGTTGATCGATACTGTAAATTGGGTCTTTTGTAAACAACAAAAGGACAATGATGTATGCATTTTTTTTTTAATTTTGAGTAGTTTGTATACTGTTTCTTCAAACAATTAATATTTCTTACATCAAAGCAACAAAATTGTGTTCAGTGCTGTACATCTGGTGTATGGTAGGAAATAAAAATTGATAATGAGTCTTGCTGTAATCTTCCTCAAGCTGCCATGTAGAGCAAGCATGTCAAACTCAAAGGCCAACACGGGCCAAATAAACGAGGCGTGCAGCCCACGGGCCACGAGCTGGATATGCTTGATGGAGAGACTGTTGTCACCATCACATGGGAAGCACGAAGCTCGGCTGCGGTTGAGTACCCCTGAGTCCTTCAGTAGTTCTGATGCATTTTGATCCTGTCAACCCATCTGCCTGGTTTGTTTGTGCACCACGAGCAGGAGGGATTTCTGCCCATTGGCAAGTCCTCACAGCCTTTGGTCCAGTCCACACTGTGGAGCAGTGGGCGCCTTTGATGCAAGAAGCACCTTTGCTAGCACTGGCAGGACACACACCTGGATCTAGTGAGCAAAAGACTGGAGGCCTCACCCTCTTGATTCCAAAACTGCTGTGGGCATATCTGCATATTCATTTAAGTTTGTTGAACTCCAATTAAAGAAAACTAGTTATCAATTCTTTTTCTTTTAAATAATTTTTGCTCATTTGATTTTTATTGATTTTGGAGAGAGGAAAGGAGAGGGAGAGAGATAGCAACATGAACGATGAGAGGAATCATTGATCCACTTCCTTTTGCACACTCCCTGCTGGGGTTGAGCCTGCAACCCAGGCATATGACTGGCCTGGAACCCAACTGTGACCTCCTGGTTCCTAGGTTGACGCTCAACCACTGAGCAACAGTGACTGGGCTAGTTATTAATTCTTGACAGCACTCCTTTACTTACATGTTTTTCTCATGTAATATCAATCAGCTTAACTTAATTTTCCAGGTTCTGAAATAAGCCAGGTAGAAAGGTCAAGAACCATGTAATTTCACTCACATATGGGATATAAAGCAAAAAGCAAAAATGAGCAAAGAAAAATGAGGTCATGGATACAGATGAAAGAATGGTGAATACCAGAGGGCAAGTGGGTTTGGGGGAGGATGGGGCACGCAAAGGGGGTCAGATTCATGGTGACAGAAGGAGACCAGACTTCAGGGGGAGAGGACACAATAGAATATGCAGATGTCCATCATAAAGTCGTACACGTGAAATTTATATATTGTTACCAGCTAATGTAACCCCATTACATTTAATTTAAAAAGTCCCATTTCTGCTCAGATTTACACATCTCTAGGATTGGATGCCATTTATACTCAATGTGGTAAAACCCATGTAATACATGTATTGAAGCGAAATTGGCTAAAGGGGAGCCTGGGTCCACAGAGGGAAGCAGGGTACTTGGGTGGACCTTTATGTACCGGGTTGACACATGGCGGTCCATGCACAATAGAGCTTGCTTTTCGTCACCAAATTTATTTGTCTGAGATGTGCATACAATACATCCTGTGAAGATTCAAATCTGCTTGCTCTGCCTGGGATTTTACATCAATGAGCAGTGTCTGCATTCTTGTCACCCAACCTGTCAAAACAGTATCAGTTCCATTGGAAATAAAAAGACAGTGATGAGTAAGTATCATGTATTCATACAACAGAAGCTTAATTGGAAGATAGTTATGTCAAGTGCACTTCCTGACTACCATGGAAGTTCAGCCCAGGGGTGATGATGAATTGAGTGGTGAGATGATGACCGAGGTACACACAGGCTCCTGTGGAAACAGTGCAGAGGGTTATTTATATAAATAACTGATTTCCTGGGGAAAACACTGGTTACAGATGGGCTCAGTACGTTTGAGGAAAGGCATTGCAGGTAGCAGGAATGTCATGGTGAGGAGACAAATGCAAGCAGCTTAAGGTAGTAAAAATACAAAAAACGAGTGAGAAGCAAAAAGCCCAGGTAAGTGGGAGACAAGTTACATTCTAAACAGCCATGTTAAAGAGTTCTAATTTCCACAGGCAGACTTTGGAATGCCAAAGAATGATTTACAACCAGAATGATGGGATCCGATTTCCATGAAAGATAATGTATTCTAGCAGTTCAAACAATGAGTATTTCTTTCTTACACTAAAGCAACAAAAGTGTATTCAGGGATGTGCCTTTGCTATATGATAGGAAATAAAAATTGATGAGTTTTGCTGTGATTATTTTCAGCTACTCCATAGAAACGATTGTCAGCCTCCCATGAAAAGTGTTGGAGTCTTTAGAGTCTAAAGTTTAGACACAAAACTAAAATACTTCTACTTAAACCAATTGTCTGATTGAAAAGAAAAGGTGAATGATTTTTGATTTGTCTTATTATGAAAAGTTTTTAAAAATTAATTTGTTATGATTCATATATATTTTATCAATATGCATAAAGCTAATGTTCTCTGTGTCTCTATACATGTCTATTTATTTATTTAAAAAATATATATATATATTTATTTTTTTTTACAGAGAGGAAGGGAGGAGTATAAAGAATTAGAAACACCAATCAGCTGCCTCCTGTACACCTCCTACGGGGGATGTGCCCATAACCAAGGTACGTGCCCTTGACCAGAATCGAACCTGGGACCTTTCAGTCCACATGCCGACGCTCTATCCACTGAGCCAAACCAGTTAGGGCTACATGATGTCCATTTTATTGTGGCCTGAGAATAGGACTCTGCTCTTTCCTTACATCATTCAGCAGGTAATTCTATAGTAAGCAGATTTAACTGGCTAGTAACTGTCTCTACTGTTAGACACAATCAATATTGCCTTGTATTCTTTATCTCGTGAAATCCTCAAATTTAGGGAGCAGATGCCACCATGCCCAGTTACACCGATGAGGAAACCGATGCTCAGAAAAGTCAGTAAC